CGTGAAAATTACACATTTCACATTTTACTTTACTACACCGCATAAAAGGAAGTAACACAAAAATCTAAACGTGTCAGTCCACACATCAAAAAAAGATAATTATTTAAACAAGAGCTTTGTGAAAGGATTTCTGTTCTTGGAGCTTATAAACTTGTAATAACTGTATTTCTCAGCTGAATTAATTAATATTTATGACACTTTGCAAACTTTGAAATGCCTTTTTGTAACTATTTCAAGTTTTTCTTAAAAGTTTAAATTCTCCTCACATTTTGTGTGAGGAGAATACAAAATATGAAGACATTGCAGCTACTGTGCATATTTGACAGGTTTTCAAAAGAAGAAAAAACCTTTGTTGGACATTTTTTGAATAAACAGTATATTAAGCTTCAAGGTTGCTGGGTGGGCGTTTCCATGGCAGCGATCTACAGTGTTGCTTAGAAACATTTTTTAGACAAGCTAAGATAGTTTTGAGTATGCGTGACTCAAGACACGTGTCCCTGTACAACATTGATCATTTGGGAGCACCCTGTTATATAAAAGTTTATATTAGCTAGCAAACGCTATCGCTGCAGAATAAGAAATAAAACTGAAAAAAAAAAAGGTCAAAAAAGTTCAAGATTCCTGATTGTGACACTAACGGAAGTAAAATAATACAAACCAAAGACAAGACAAAGACAGCAAACCGATGAACCCTGGAGGCTGCAGCTTGTTCCATCTGAGGCAGCCGTGTTTAAGAAAATGGAGTTTCTTTCTTTCTTTTGAAATATTTGTTTCAGACATTGTTGGACAGCAGTGCATGAATTGACAAAAAAGTATAAATAAAATGATTAATATAATATATATAAAATTGCTATGAGTATGGATTTTTGTGCATCTGATGCAATTGTAGAATTTATTTTTATCTTTGTATCGCTGCAGGATGCTGGAGCCTCAACTATAACTTGGCATTCTGTTTATTTCCTGCCGTGAGTCAACAGAGTGTGACGATACTCAAAAGTTTGGTCTGCTCCGCGTCTAATCTGTCACTGAGCCTATCTTCTAACCCCTGAAGTCTGAGTAAACAGCAAACTGTTCACTGACGTCAGCATGAACCTTTCCCACATCACCTGAGTGGATCAACTGTCACTGCGCCCTGACACTGTATCGTGTTGTGACACTGTGTGAATGTTTGGGTGTCGATGAGGCAACTCTGCTAAAACCTGGATAAAAATACAATTTACAGCAAAAAGAAAAGTTAAACTTTATTCAATGTGAGCTGAGCTAATATCAGCATAAAACTATTCTAACAATAGCCAATTAAGTTCTGTGTTTATGGCAAGACTGAACTTCTGTCTGACGCTGTCCCTCAGGTGTTTGCTGGGAGGCTACTGAAGGGCCAGACAGGTTCACAAATCTATTTCTGGATCACTGACTGACAGGAAGAGACTGGATTTGCCACTGTGACTATCGCTAGCAGTGAATAGCAAGAAAAACACCTGGAGAAAGTCACAGAGTCACAATCTAATTAATTCCAAATTCCCTGATGTACAAATGTAAAAAAAATATATAATAATTTAACGTTATTATACTTTATGCTAGTGCAATATCTGTGCCGCACAGATTCACCGCTCCATTCACCGGTCCAGACTATAGGTGTACCACTCTTTTTCCATCTGTCCATTTGGCCCACAGACATCACAGACATCACAGCGAACAGTCAAGAACTTACGCTCCAAAGAAGTGACTTTTGAAGTCAATGGGGCCACTGCAAACACTCTTTCAACTTTTCTTGAGGAAGGTATACGGAGCGCACGGCTCTCCCACTGATCTTGGCACAATTCGACAGATTCATAATGGAAAGACACCTTCCCATCCTCCATCATCCGTCGGCCCAGCTCTGCCTTAGAGTTAAAACTGCGCTGTTGAGAGGGCACATGGCTGCCAGCCGCTTCCTGCTAAGCTTGAGCACCACATCGAGATGAGAAAACAGGCAGCAAAGACCGCCTGTGACCCTGTTCACTAGACAGAACCTCGCATTAAAAACTTCCACTCACACACACCCAAACAAACCCCCTCTGATCGGTGCCACTTATCACCCTCCTGCTATTCATCACTGTGTACACTCTTATCGATATCATTGATATTGCTGCGCAGGGTTTGCTGATCTTTACAACTTATTACCCCTCAACACCTTCAGACTCGCATTACTGACATCTTGCAAACTCAGTAGGAGTGTCTGTGCTTTGTATTATCTCAAGCGTTATCTCATTATGTTCCCTTCAGCTCAGTGGTATGAGTCATTGTATAGACTGCATTACTTCATTCTCTCCACACTAACTGAAAGGAAAATTCTATTTTTATACAACCAGACTCTTGTTTTTGCTGTTATGGCCATCGGTGCTGTCACTTATGAAACCAATTTCTGAGAATGAGAATCTGGAGACCCAAAGACACCGGTTGTAACACACTAACAGAAAGGTGTAGCTGCTGATCTGCCTATCACACAGCTGGTAGTTTATTGGTTCTTGTGACAATAAGTTAAAAAATATAGATATCCACATTATTGTAGATATCTTTATTTGTATACCCTGGCAACTGCAGTAGCAGCACCTGGAGTACAAGTAATCTGGGTTGGGAATAAATGCTATGTTGACATTTACAGTTTGGTTATTAACTCTGACAATGTGTCAGTGCATGTGACGCTGGCGAGCATCAGCGTCAAAATCTGTTTAACTGCATTGTTTTATATTAGAATTTCCTAATATAAATGAAGCTGAACTACTGTCGGACACCCCGTTTCTAGTTATTCCTGTTCCTGATATCTATACAATACCTCCTCATTTAACTAAAAACGAAGATAAGGTGGCAGGTGGCTGGAGGGAGATTGCCAGGGAGCTGGAAGTTTCTAATAATCGCTAATAACAACCTGCTTGCTTCTATAAGTTGTGACTGCACACTGCTCAGCTTGTGCCATCTGAATAACATGTAAAACGAGTGAACGAGTATTTCAAAGAGTATTTCATCAAAAAAAAATGAGCCCAACATTACAGAAAAGTGCCTACATTTGTGTAGCATCATCTCGCGACCGCTCTGTTTTATCTTGTGAACCCTTTGACGGGTTGCCAGTTTGGGAGTCACAGCTTTACATAGTATTTGTTGTAAGTAGTAAGTAATTTTACAACCTGGGTCATATTTTCATAGTTTTAGCTATCATTTTGATTGGTTATGATGCCACTGTTCTCACCAAGTATCATGTGCACATACAGTGAACCAGGAAGTTGGTGATAGATGTTTATATCTGAATCTGTTTGGAAAATAATTTAACCCAAATTATTTGGTTAATGAACGGGTTTGTTCAAAAGCTTCGCAAGGGTTTCACTGCTAGTGTTTCTTACATCATCGGGACTTGTTTTCAGCAATGGCAGCGTTCCCAGAATCGATAACCCTCAAGTTAACAGGTTTACCAGAACACTACAAATGTCTAACAGAAAGCCTGAGTTACAAATTGTGGGTATGTGATTTAAAATATGTGGGCACATGTGCGACAAAAAAAAATGGAAATGTAGGATTCTGTGTTTTTGGACCTTGGTAGAAATAAAATCTTGGATAGCCTCTGCCCTTTATAAGTTCATGGAAGTGCAATACTAAATTCCTGGAGTATTTCCTTTAAATTGGTCAATAAAATGTCCCATGAAGTCCATTTTAAAGTGTATTTCGGCAACAAAGCTGCAGGAGAAAAGTCATATGATATGAACGATGGACCAAAATCTGATAAGATGACGCAGATTGTAAAAACGAAATATTGAGCCACACCACCGCTGCCTGTCACAGCCATTTTACCATTCTACTGCAATTTATGCCCCGTACTGTGTGTCTGCGACTCTGCTTTGTATTTGTGACGTGACTGTAATAAATTACCAACTCTAATATATCCATGAAGAAGTTGTAGTAGCAACATATAGCTGCACACAGCCTGTAAATGCCTATGTGAGTTGCTGCTACAGTGCCTGCTCCAACATAAAGCTGAGGCACATCCTGCATGCTGTCTGGGCAGGCAGTCACTCAGCCCTCCAGCACTGTGAGCTTAGTGACTCAGCAAAAGTCACCCACCTCCCCCTCTTTTTCTCCGTGCCCCTCTCTCTCTCTGCATCCCAGACACTGGGCTGGCACACTGACAGTTGCAACACAAAAATGGCACCGCTGAGGCTAATGAATCACACTCTGTGGGTGACGTCTCACAAAACCTCAGTTTGGCTAGCACCCCACATAAAATAGTACTGGGACTAAATCTGAAAATCGATTGTAATATGAATTTCATGGGAGGAGGCTTTTAAATTGCATGCCATCTGATGAGAGGGGAAAAAAAGGGCAAAGTATTGTTTACTCTACATACATGCAGTGGTATGAGACTTTTTGCATGCAGAATTTACATAAATACAGAGGTACACACAAACATGTGACCACGTGAGATTTCAAACATGCACGTCATGAATGTACACATACGCTCAATGCATGCAAAAGAGATACTTCAAAAGGGAACTCACTGCACACTATGAAACGCACTGATGTTAGTGAAGAAGACATAATCAAAGACATACTGTGGCTGAAAGGGTGGTTGGGCGGCTGTTGTAGGTGTACCTACAGTAAATAGTAAAAACAAGTCTCCTTTTGTCATTCTTTTCTCACTCGCGGGAACTAAGTGGATTCTAGGCTGCGCTTGACATGAAGAGTGTCACTGCGCTATTCATATCTACTTGACAGGTGAGACTTGAGAGACAATTTGTGACATTATAATCAAGACTAATAGGTTAAAATCCTTTTTGGCAGAAACAGTACTTGACAGATTGACCCAATGTAGCCCACAAGCATTAAGATACACCCACAGCAGAAGCTTCCTCTGCAAGCATGAATGACCTGGTGACCGACACTGATTCCAACTGTCACCATGGAAATCAAAACTTTTGATTGAAGGAGTTAAAGTTCCTGAAGCAAAAAACAATATAAAAGAGACAGAAACTCACAGGTAGGCGGCCTTGCCCTCCTCTATTTCTTTGCCCTTGCCACTGGTGGCTGTTTTCTTGCTACACAGAGTGCGCGTGATGCACATCAGCAGGCCGCAGTGACGCAGGAAGAAGCAGCTGACGTCCACCAGCACGAGCAGTAGCAGAAGCGCTCCCAGTCCGAGGCCCACCACAGCCCCCAGCCCCAGGCCGCTGAACAGGGATTCTGCTAAGGCAGTGAAAACACACACACAGACACACGACACAAAACAAAGGGAAAAACACTGTTAGCAATTTTGGTTCATACGCTTATTTTCTAAGATAGAGACAGAGGTCAGGGTCAGGTGTAGAGTGGAGCTGGTGGGTGTTCATCGGCTCGCTCAAGGACGTGTTCTCAGGTCGGACGCCTGCTGAGACGAGGCCTGACCTCCGCCCCGCCCTAAATCCATACATGGTGGGTGTAACAGCACTGTAAGTGAGACCAGAAAACTAGAGGGTTGTACCAAACAAGAGCACACTTACCCCCCAAAAACTTTTTCTGTGGTTACTTTCAAAACCACTCGAAGGTCAATGAATTCCTCTAGAGCCAGCTGGATAGTTTCCAACACATAGATAAGTCCTAATCCACAACGCCTCGGCTCCACGCAATCCTCAGCGGAGGATCCCGATTATTAGTGTGATTCCACCAAATCTCCTCCAAAACAAATCAATTTCAGACGTCCAAACTTTTAACGTAATAGAAGTTTCAAAGACTTTAGAAATTAGAAAAAGGAGATCTACAGCCCCCCCAAAACAGGTGGAAAAGGCTTTGCTTGGTGATTTATTTGTGATATCAGAAGCTTTGCAGCTTCTTATCTGTTTAAGAACTTAAAAATACAGAAATGGTTTGACAAAACTCAATTTATAGGCCTGAAACTACAGAACAAAACACATTCCTTTCTTCTGTAATTGGCCTCAGGCCCTGCAACTACCTTCTCTACCATGTGCCAAGTGTCAACATCTCTGATTCTACAAGTGCAGAAGGTAGTGTACACTTTTCAGCTATATTGTTCCCAAGTGCAGCTCAATGTAGCAAGCGTCAGCATTACCATACTGATGCTTCAGCCCCTGTGTCCACTCGGCCCCTTTTATTTCATAGCTTGCAGCCTTAAACAAATTCACGTGGGATGCAAAGTCGGAATTTTCAGCTAAAAGTTAAAAACACTTTCTCTCGGATCCGTTAGTATACGGCGCTCTAAAACACATTGGGCTCTCAGCTCAGTCGGGAACAAGCAGCAGGGCCTGCTTTCAGATGAAAGTAATAAGAAAATGAAGGCAGTGCAGCAAAGAGAGGCTCCCAGTGGGCACAGCTGAACAGAGTTGTGCCCTTAAGTGATCCTGGGGTTGGGCGAACCGAACGTCCACAGTAGGATCACTGTTGGCAGCTGGAGGTCAGACCTTGCCAGGAGTAATCAGCGATGGAAGAGCGAGAGTGAATGAACTTTCCTACTTAAGAGTGCTCTCATATGGGTGCTCAGTAGACTGTGAGTTAAAAAGGGGGAGCGGACATCAATATGAAGGTGTAAGCACACAGAGATGGCCGAGAGGTGAAGTCTGGCACCTCAGAGTTAAATAAAGCCCAGTGAGCGAAGAGTGAATGCTGCCAGAGCTCTCCACTGTCTCCTCTGTCCTGTGTGGCAAAATATAAAGTGAACGTGAGCTGAATACAGAAGTTGTAACCAGCCTTCAGTCAGTTTCCCACAGCCCACATACGGTGTATCTGCGAGGATTTTGGCTGATTTTAGATGCATTTACATTATGTGGCTGGAAAAAGGCGGTTTAATATTTTAATGGTGTACAACTGAATCCTCACTAAACTCTGACAAAGCCTCAGGATTCTATCATATCACTTCTCATTTTGTAAAGTCCACTACAGTAAAATATCAAAAATAAACTAAATTTCTACCATGTTTGTGCCTTCGTAAATTAGATTCAGTACCATTTAGAACAATTGTGAATCCAATGAAAGCGGTTCAGGTCATTTTAAGATTTGTACACAAAAAGCTGTTGCTTGTTACTAATTAAAGGGGTTGCTAGAGACAGATTAAAACAAAAAAAGGTCAAAATCTTTGTAGCACAGGCAAAAATATCCAGAGTTTTAGTCCCTTATATGGCTCCTTTTTTCCCCAGAATGCAGCCTTTTCATTACAGTCTAAGCCAAGGAAATGTCCATGTCTTTCAAACTCCATGCCCACAGTTTATTAATGAAGCATTATACAAGTGTTGGAGTGCCCATTAAAGATGATAGTCTACCAACAAACAAACCATGTTCAGACACTGACAAGGAGTATTTAAGCTTTTTTTATTTTATTGTTTTGGCTGTCTAATCCAACACTTTGGACTTGAAATGAAATAATGACTATGGACAATGATACAGTAAGGCTGCTTTTCATACACTGTTTGAAAACATCCTCAAGTTAAAGCTGCGAGTCAACACTTTAACCTCACAGTCACCGTTTCGTTTCAAATCCAGTGTGCTGGAGCACTGAGCCAAAACAACAAAAATGTGCGAATTTCCAAAAACCCATGCTCCACGCTGGAAGTCGTCTCTGCGTGTCACAACCCAAATGACTCTTGTGTCGGTGAATTTGTTCTTGTCTTCGAGCTGAGACCGCAGACAACGGAGGCTGGCAGCGAGTCAAAGCACAGAGAGACAAAGAGAAAGACAGAGAGGGAGAAAGAGAACCTTGTGGCAAAAGTAACTCTTATTAAAACACTTTGCTTTTTTCGTGAACCCGAGGATGTGGGATTTGAAACTTGTAGACTAGATCAATATTTTCTCACCGCCACAGGCTACTGTTTTGTATCTCACCTTCTGAAAGTTTATCTCAGTTAATTTGGCTGCTGAAGCCACAGATTCAGAGGTGGTAAACAACACCTCTCCAGCTCCCCTGAAGCATTCACATATTCCAGGAGACAAAGTGAATACTAATCCATTCGTTAAGCCACACTTCACTCTTTTTCATCACAAGACTGCAGTGCCTGAAGCTTTCATATCGGTGTTTACATTTTTACATCACATAAAGCCCTGGTATTTATGATAAGGCAAATAATGGAGCATTTGTAATAAATGTACACAGAATTATTGAATTATGTACAAAAACATTAAGTCAAACCTACAACAAAGTTGTAGGTTACCTTGTGGTGTTTTTTCAATATAAAAAAACACATTAAAAAGTTAAAGCGGAAGCATTTACTCCTAAATTGAAAACTAGTAGAAATCTTTTTTATTTGAAGTATTTATTTTCCTGGATAAAGATTTTAAATAGGGTGCCATTTTTTCGGGATGCCAGCAAAAGCTTCATCCTGAAAGACTGAAATCCATAAACATCAGACTTTCATCCGATAAGGAGTATTACTCTAAAGTGCTTAGCAGCAGCTTGACAGTTTGAGGTTGGATTGATACATTACACGCTTGTTTACTTGTAGACATTCTGCCAGCCATTTTACTACATCTACTCCCTAATTTGGAAATAATTTCAAGAAGAATTGAGTCTGAGATACACTGAAATATATTAAAATACAAAGGGTATATTACTGGCCGAAGAAGCAACTCAAAATATTCTATCAATATTGTCAGTGTTTACACATTACAGACATGGCACAACAAATCCAGTTAAGAGGACAAGTTTACAGGGCGGCCTCTGCTTTGTTAGCTTCTAAAACTCAATGTAATCTCTCATGCTGAAACCATTGTAGTTACAAAGTTGGCAAAGTACAAAGTTAAACTATGATTTCTTTAGGAGAATACAAGAAACCTCCCATGAACATTTACCAGCGTGGGTACTTGCGTCATTATAACTTGGTTTGTCCATGTCCATCACATTCACCAACACTTTGTTCTGAAGGAATTATATCAACATTTTAGCTGTAATCTCTGCACTGTCCTGTCTGAACTAACTGCGAGACCTCGACTCCCCCATGGACTTTTTCAATATCAGCCTCATTTAGACATAAAGAAAACAAACAAGAAATTTGATTTTGAATTATAACCTCTTGAATAGAACCTTCAGGTTGCGTTTTTTCCTTTAAAGTGTGCATATAATTAGCCTAATATTTGACATTTGAGAATAAAAAATAAATAAAATAAAAATGTTAAAAACAACTGTGTCACTTGCTCAGTTGTACTGAAGTCTTACAGCTTCAGGTTGTGGTCCGGATTCAGCAGCTGCTCTCTGAGCGTCACACTGAATGTGTTGCAGGTAACAAGTGTCAAGAGCAGCAGCCCGGCTGGTTCTCATTCTACCCAGGTTCTCCCACGCGACACTGCTCCTCCGCACCCTACAATGGCTACCGGTAGCCGCTCGAATCCGACTCAACACCCTGGTTCTTGCCTACTGTGCTGCGAATGGCTCAGGCCCATCCAGGATGTGCTCAATCGGTTTGCTACTCTCTCACTACAAGGGGAGCCCAGCTACCGCTGTGCGGCTGTGCTGGCTCCACAATGGTGGAACAAGCTCTTCTCTGTGTCTTATTGTTGGAAATGTAGCAATTCAGCATATATGATAAAGTTTGATGTACTTTGTTGATGAAGTTGTGATTCTTGCCAGTATAAAAGTACATTCCTTTACAGAATCTTATTTTTGTTTGTTGAGGAGAGAAAGCATTTCTTTAAATAAAAATGTTTTGTTTTTGAAGTAGAAGAATCCAAGGTTGCCTGTCGGTGCCTTTGTGACTTTGTGAATGGAGAGAACTACATGTGGAGACTGTAAAAGGAAATGTGCTTAAAGGAAATGCTCTAGTCTTTAGTGCCTTCAGTATTGCAGTCTGAGATTTATTTTTGCTACATTATTCTGTGAGCCAGAAACAAGATGCCTTACTTCATGAAACAGTTCAGATCTCTGCATAAGGAATTAAAGCATGACAAGCGGCTTAACTTTAAAATTAATAAACAGAGATGAAACACAGCCAAGAAGTGTATGGCCACAAGTCAAGCTGTTTCAAGTTAGCAGCCAAGTTGCCTTCCAACAACTAACACTGGAAAGAAAAAGAAAATGTGCACATGCTGTTTATGCCTGATACATTGACGTATGAGGTAAAATAGAATAAATATGTTAGATATTATTTCATTCTGTGGTAATTTTATAGCATTCATGGCAAACATTCATGTGGTCACCTATGGCTGCTGTTGGCACAGTTGATTTATAATGTAAGAGTAAAGAGAAGTAATGGGGTCATTTCTGTGAGAGG